CTGAATGCTTTCGGTTGAACAACTCTCTTGCACTAACTGGTGGTCCTCCTGTAGCAAATTGACCAAGATGATATCGCATATTACGATGCGGACCAAGATACCCTGTCCTGGTCGGATATCCGGAGTCAACTAAATAATATTTTCCAGGAGGAGGATGTGGAAAAGAAGCCTCGTTTCTCGCACAATGAGTCAAGACCTTTGTATCATGTGCTCTACCAGGTACACCGACATATGCATATATGAACTTCATGTCGAAGTTACATATAGCAAGAACATTCATTGTAGGATCTTGCTTTCTGCCTCTGAATGCTTCTGCATCTTCAGGAGGAGGACGAACCGGGACATGAGTTCCATCGAGTGCTCCAATACAATCTCTGAAATGAGGCCAGTACCGATCATCATTCCTCAAAACAGGACTTACTCTTCCAAACTCGCCTTCTTGTGGTCTTAGTGTATCAGCTGCAAACTTGAGAAGAGCACTCAAGACATTATCAAGCTTCCTTTGTACCGTATCCAGTGATCTTTGATACCTTGCAGCAATATCCCGCTTCGTCTNAGACATTATCAAGCTTCCTTTGTACCGTATCCAGTGATCTTTGATACCTTGCAGCAATATCCCGCTTCGTCTTATCTTGACCAACAGTCTCGAGAAACATCGCAACAGATTCCTCAAGGTAGACATGGTGAGTCTCTTTCAATCCATATCGCTGAGCTAGCATCTTGCACAAAGCTTCAAACGTCCTTTGATTCATGCGCAGAATGTCGTAGCATTGCTGATCAGATCCATACTTAAGTTGTTGAACAAAACGCCATCCTGCTCCTCGATCTGTTCTGTGACTCAACCTCGCAGGAATAGCCACATCAAACAATCCAAGCTCATCATCATAATCATCATCATCATCTTCCAATATCCATCTCTTAAGCTCCTCAATCTGTTCAAACAAACCAAGATTGTTTATTAGTGTTCTCTTAAAAAACCCAACAGCTGCAACAGAAATTTAATAACTGAATTGTTCTCAACAACTACAACAAAGTCATATGTTCTCTATGCATGAATTGTTCGATACTAATAATACTAATAGCAAAATAGTTTCATAACTGATTATAAAAAGCCACAAAAGGCAAAGTTTCATACAAAGA